CTCAGATGGATCACTCTTGCAGTAATGAAGACGCTGATGAGTCTAGCGGGAGTGTAATTACTATCACCGAATCCGGCTCAATAGACTGATTCGCGACCCAAGCCGCTATCGGCTTGCTCCGGGTGTTCAGCTTGAAGCATTTTTTGTACCGGTGCAACACACATCGCACCACTATTTTCCCGCAATATATGAAGCGGAACAGTTTTTTTTATACAATGAATTCAAAGTTCAAGGTTCAAAATTTACGAGTATAATATAACATCGCTTGGGATAATTAAATTTTAAATCTTTCATATTCGTCTATACAATAATAGTAAAAATAATAATAATAATAATAATAATAATTATTATTATTATTATTATTATTATTGCAATTATCATTATTATTTCCATTTAAAATCCAATGGCTTTTAAATTAAAATCTTCTAGTGTTTAGTCAATAAACACAACTTCATACATTTGTTATCCCTAAAACACTCACCTCCTAGAGTAAGAAATTTGACTAAATATCATTATCAATATAGCACATCATTTGATGCATGAAATTTTGATGAGTAAACCGACTGTTGTGGGTCGCATCCTGGGAGGGGGAAGGACGTACACCTTAGGTAGGGCTGGTCTTTAATATGACCTAAGGTAGGACAACACATCTTGGCCTGTAAAACTGAAATGTGTAAAAAAAAAAAAACGAATATAAGGAGTGATGTGTTGATTTACCTTAATAATTAAAATTCTAAAAATGTCTGACATCAAAATATTAACGGTTAAATATGGCGAATTCAGCTTATTTGGTTTGTAGATGAATGGTTCAGAGAACCGACATGTTGATAAATTAGACACATGTGCAACTCTTGGGTATCTTTATTGAGGAAACGTTTCGCCACACAGTGGCTTCATCAGTCCATACAAAGGAGAATCTTGAAGAACAGGAGGAGAATGAGGTAATCAGTCCCTCAACCTTGAGTCGATGTGGTCAGTCCATCAATCTTGAATAGAATACGGCATACATGCTGAGAAGGAGCTTAAAAACGTTTCCTCAATAAAGATACCCAAGAGTTGCACATGTGTCTGATTTATCAACATGTCGGTTCTCTGAATCATTCATCTACAAACCTGTCAGACACTGCAACTTCTTGGGATCTTAATACTTGGGAATTCTTCACTTGCCTAATTCTTGGGCACGACCTACTTCCACATTGAACAAATGTGACACCACCTATGACTGCTGCACCTCTCCTACCAACGGTTTATAAGCTCCTCTATAAGCTCCTCCTCCGCACGTATGCCGTATTCTATTCAAGATTGATGGACTGACCACATCGACTCAAGGTTGAGGGACTGATTACCTCGTTCTCCTCCTGTTCTTCAAGATTCTCCTTTGTATGGACTGATGAAGCCACTGTGTGGCGAAACGTTTCCTCAATAAAGATACCCAAGAGTTGCACATGTCTAATTTATCAGCTTATTTGGTAAAAAGAATTATGGTCATATTAGATCTGTGTTGATCAGAATACATTTTATTATACTTTTGTAGGTTTTTGTTGGCATTTCAACAAATGTAATGAAAATATCATGTCTTAACCGAATTGATGTGACTAAATACATTAGATATTCAAAATTCATTCCATTAATTTTTTTCATTTTACATTTCTTAAATAATATGCTGAGTGAGAACAGTAAGGAATGGAATTCTTTGATTATTATTTAGTGCGGATTAAGGACGTAACTAGAAAAATTCTACAGGCGCTCATGAGGTCGGGAGTTTGCACTTACGTTCTAATGGGAAGCGATAAGTTAACAGTCTAGTAGGTGGGGATCTCTTTTAGTTTGAAGAACGAACCAAGGTTGATAATCGTTCAGAATTGAACATTTCTTGGCTATGCTGCTCCACCTCGTTGTCTGGACAGTTTTCAAGTTCCATTTATGTGAGTGAATGTGTCTGTTTTATTGGTTTACGTAACCTAACCTAACCAAGCCTAGCCAAACCTAACCTAAATTCACCTAACCTAACGGAGTCTAAATTATAGAAAATGGCATTCATATGTTCAGGAGAAACATTTACATATAGAAGTTAACAATCTTTTAATATAATTAATACAATACGACGAGGATAGGATAAGAGACAGAAAAAAGCTTATTCTTCTTATGTGTGATATCTTAATGATATGTGTCAAATGAATAAGAGAATTAAATAGCTCCTGGGTATTTTAAGTAACGTGACCTTTCGCCTGCCCAGCGGTATTTTTTTTAAGCAAATACAGAGGCGGGTTAAATACTGAAGACAATAAAAGTTGAGCTGCAATTTTGAAGGTATTCAGTCCCTCAGCTTTACTAGGTGTTCAGTCCCATATCCTAGGGCAATCCAAACTAGAGAAACGAGACTGGAAAATTAAATTCTAAACACACAGACGAAGTGTATCAGCTGAAGGCATCATCACAGGTGGACGGGATCCACTACTGAAAGTAGGTCATGTTTAGATGTTGAGATTGAGGTTAGCAA